TATATATATATATATATATATTAAAAGGAAACGGTATTCGAGTCCGGTGGGTCCCAAATGCCGCTTCCCTTTTGCGCTCAGGCACCTATGATAGTGTGTCTGCGCCATGTACCTAATATTCCAGAGCCCCCGCGCCACGGTGGGGTTGAACCCTTGACCTGAGGGGACATCTCACCAACAGGCCAAGGCTTGCGGCACGTGTATATGTATATATATATATATATATATAGTCTTTTCGAGTATATATATATATATATATATATATATATAGTCTTTTCGATGCTATATATCTGTTAAACACTAAACTTAATTGCATATTTCATCATCATTTCCTTTTCTTTCTGCAGCCGGGAATATGTTATGCTTCACGAGAACTCGGCAGCCTGAATGGCTTGTGGGTGCCATTTGCCAGTTCGCGCTTCGGCAATTTTTGTTATATGGTGTTGGTTCTTATTTACTCAGCCTCGTTTTGTCACTTGTCTCGAATTTTCGGCTCTGTGGTAGACTCTGAATGATTGGGATTCCTTGACTAATTCATTTTAATTACTAACACTATTTCTGCTGTTCATTTTGTTTGTTCAAATGATGTATGTGAAGATATATGCCCTCGGTGGTGATTGGAAATGTGGAATTTGTTGGGGTTAAGAGTTGTAGAATCTTTTATTTTGTGCATATTTGAATTTATTTTGGCGCAGTTTGTTATATTTCATGGTTCATACCACTTAACAATATGCTTGTCAAGTGTTTGGCTGCAACATGGATTTATGTTGAGTCGGTAAATCCAAACACGAACTTCATGACCGATGGCAGAATAAAATTTGTTGTCCGTCTTTCAATCGGATTTATTAAATATTAAATTTAAATTTACGTTGCGAAAGAGACTGAACGCAATAAAATTTTATTTTACTCGGCATTGGATTTAATTTTTATTTTTTTGGTATTTGATTCGATATTAGTTAAATCTAATTAGTATGGTTGTGCTTAGTTAAAATATAGGTAATATATTATGATTTCTTTTGTTCTTGTCCTCATGTTTAGCCATGCATTCAAACAATAGGTTCTCTTTAAATCATTTTTACTACATAATTAAGTATAGTACTCATTTCTATAGCATTGATTTTTTTTACTTGAGCTTGATGAGATCATTAAATGGTCAAAATCATGTTTGACTTTGATTTTTCTAGACTTATTTTGAGGCAAAATATAATGAGATGAGCAATAATTAATTGATAATGATGGGAAGATATTTTAATTAATTGATTATATTCATTTTCTAACAAAATGATAACATTTTGTAGCTACTTTTAATGTCTTAAAAAATGATCAATTTTATATTTTATAATGTTTTATAAAAAAATATATGAATGGAAAATATTTTAACATCCATTAATATTTTTTAATTGATAATATTTCCAATGCATATGTTTTCCTTTTATGTAATATTTTTGGCTTTCTAGCAAAAATATAAGAATATATACTAAAAAATATTGTTAAATTTAAATATATAGATCAAATAAATTAAGAGGTCCATAAATGATAGCCTAATCTAATGCCAAAGGATGAAAAAATGACCCATTAAAATGATTAAGCAGGCGCCCACTTGATAAATGCATCAAAAGGATGGGGTTGCATGTTGCAATGATAAATGCATTAATGATCTCCATTCATTAATCACTAGCCCCAACATCATTATAAGGTGAAAGTTATAGTAGCTTCAAAATTAGATGGTGATTATAAAATCAAAAGATCTTTCTAGCTTCTTTATTCTAAGTCTTGAAGTTGATACAAGACTAAGGGTCTGTTTGGGGCAGCTTGTGTGTTTCAGGATAAGCTGCTTATCCTGAAAAGCGGCCCGCGGGCCGGCCACAGGGGTCGACCCGCGGTCTACGTTTAGTCTAAAAACCCAAATGCAGTTTTAAATAAGCTGGCGAAACGAGCGAATCAAACGGTACTACGACGTTTTTAATACGCCGCTCGCACTTATAAGCTGCCCCAAACGGACCCTAAAGGATGACATTATGAATAAAATAATAGAACTATTCTTTGATTATTTGTCCTTTTGTGTTTAAAATCTAATTAAATAGGGTTTGAAACCATATATTTGGTCCAAGGGTAAAACACAACACTAAGAAGAATTATAGAAAATATAATATGCTAAAAATAAATTAAAAGCTAATTTTACTTTTGATATTATCAAACTAGTGGTTGAATATATATTGTTTACTTATCATTATTAAATTAGAGTCCAATAGACATTTAATAAACAGTGTTATTTAATATGATGAATTTTATTCTGAGACTTTGGATGATCTCAATGTCCTTCAACTTGGGATGCATCACCTAAACATGAAAATGAGATTAATTTTATAATTAACGATCTAAGGAAATCAACTTGGGCCTTAAAAAGAGTCCTGATCAAAGTTTCATAGGTTTGTTATTTGGTGAATATGATGACAACTACTTGTTTAGATTGTTAACTAATTTATATTTTTTTTAACTAAATTTATATTTTTCTAACTAAATTAATTAATTGCTAATAAAATAAATTTTAAAAAATACTCAAAAGATAAATATCTATTTAAATGGCTTGAGAATATACTCTAATGTTAATGATGACCTCATAAATCATTTTTTGAAGTTATGATGTTACATTCAATTGAAATTTACATAATGTTAAATCATAAATTAAATAAATCAACAAACAAATATAGAACATCTAATTTTTTTAAAAAAATTAATTAAAATAAAAAAATTATCAAAATTTAATCACAAAATCCTAATGATATAAAGAATTTAAAAAGCTTAAGTTTAGGTCATTTTGATTAATAAAATATTTCTAAAATTAAAAATAAAAATCTAAATAAATATAATAAATCATAGAAAAGTTAATTAACATCAAAATGATTCCAATTTTATAGTAGGGTTTAGAATGTGATTTTGACCCTACCTGTAAATCTTTGTCAAATTTTAAGATCATTTGAATTTTTAGTTGAAAATTAATAATAAATAATAAAAGTTAATTAACATCAAAATGATTCCAATTTTATATTAGGGTTTAGAATGTGATTTTGACCCTACCTGTAATTCTTTGTCAAATTTTAAGATCATTTGAATTTTTTAGTTGAAAATTAATAATAAATAATACATGATAATTCAATAAATCTCCACCACCTTATGGGATGGTTTCGAAATAACTCCTAGCTCTAGGGATCAAATTCACAATGATTTGAAATCTTTTGAACATAAAACAAATGAAAGATATTAATTAAAATGCATAATTCAAATAAAGCATAAAAATATTATAATTGAAAATGCACATAAAATCTACCCTTGTGTGTCTTTAGGTGTTATCAAACATTTTTTCTTTATTATGCAGTGATTTGACTATTAAGAAATGTCTGGGGTAATATGCACATTCGAGTAAACTTTTGTATTTAAGTGTTCTCTTCAAAATCCAAGTATAAATTAAAACAATAAAATTCTAAAAGTTAAACTAAAACTCTTGAGATCATTAATCACATAAACCTAAATCAACAAATGGTAAATTCAAATTTGAAATCAAATTGAAACTTAAATACTAAGCCTTGTTCAAACTCACCATACAATTTGGCACACACATTAGACTTAGTTGTTCATGCACTCAGCCTATATCCTATGTTAGGATTATTTATTGTGATTGTGATGGTTTGGTGTGCTTTAATATGCTTTGTAGTATCTATGATGATTTGTGGTGAATAAGTATGGCATATTAATTATTTAGGAAATATATTTTTGTCCTAACTTTAATTTTTAGGTTTTATAGGAGTTTAGGTATCATAGTAAGTTCATGTTTATTTTCGCTGCAAGAAAGTTTATTTTAGAATATAGAGAAGTCTTGAGTCTTTTTATGTCCTATAGGTGCCCCAAAAAATATGAAAAACTCAAAACAAATGAATATAAAGCAAATGAACCAAGATAAACCAAGAATCAAGAATGAGGGAGATAGAGTCAAGATGAACATTAATATGCGTGTGCTTCAATATAATTAATTGCATTAAATTATTTAATTAACAAGATGAACATTAATATGCGTGTGCTTCAATATAAAGTTCTATGATGTATGGTGAACATAAATTAAGGAGCTAAAGGACCCCACAGACCTAATTTATTAATCTTATTTCTAGTCATAGATGTATAAAGACCAATAATTGGCTGCCAAATTTTTTTTTCTTTTTTTTTCTTTTTGGGTGCATTGTGGTACCTGGTCACACTAGCATTTTCAACTATTATCTTTGATTTATTTTATTTTAAAGTTTTTGGTTTTATTTATGTGTTTACTTATAGATAATCACTATAAGAGTATATTTTTCTATGTTTCTTCACTTATTTGTGTTTGGTTAAAATCATTGTATGGTAGGCTCTTAGGAGTAAATTTCTACATCAACTTGATAACTTGAAATAGTTTAAATCAAAACTCAAAACAAAATCAAGTAAAATTTGTAGTAAATAATAGATTAAATCAAATAAAACTCTTAAAAGTGTAATAAGAGGCATTTAATCTGTAAGGATACCAGCCCCTCATAGGGAGGTTAGTCTAAATTCTTACTAGTGTTCAAGCTAAAAATTCAATGCAGACATTCATGCATTAACTGCATAGCCTTGGCTCTTGAAGTGAATCAATCAAATATTTTTTTTAAGAAAATATAAAATACTACATTAACTAAAAATAGTGCATATCATTTATAATTAAGCAATTTGATTCTAGTAATTAAATTATAAATCATATATTTCCTCTACTAAACAAGAGACTTAGAAATTCTATCTTTCATCAGATTAAACTTCATAAATTTGAGATGCTTATGTGAGTTTAGTTGACCATCTCTTCTATGTAGAATTGTAAGTTTAGTAGAGTCGTACTAATTTTAAACCATGTGAAATTGAACATTATAGGTCCTTTGTATATAATTAGACTATGTTCAAGATTCTATTGTGATAGTAGTTCTCACCACAGTTTAGGTTATGAGGTAGATTTTTTCACTACATCATAAATCTCCACTTCCTAAGTTTTTCCATGATCTAATATTTTTAGAGTAAAAGTTTCCTTTTCCATTAAAAGAAAGGAAGAGGAACTTAGAAATGTCTGAATGCCTTGATACTCTTTACAGTCCTTTTCAAAACATGTTAAGCAAAGATGCAATCTTAGAAATTAACAAATGTCTTATATAAGAACCAAAGGATGAAAAAGTTCATCAGAAAATTGGAAGAGAATTGGGAGATGCTAAATAATTCCTCTTCTATTGCAACTATTTGATGAACATAATCCTTTACTTAATAAAATGAACAATTTAAACTAAAATAAAACATAATTTCAAAAATGTAAAGTCGAATATAGGATTTTTGGAGTGCTACTAAGCTTCTCAATATTTGAGCGCTTGTTACCTCTCCTCGTCTTGAACTTTGAAATTCATAAAGATACAAGTTACTGCTTTAATTGAGTGTATTCTTAGAAGATGACTTATTCTAAGATATAATTAATCATAGAGGCTTATTCTTATAGGAAAATTACAACCCATATTAAAATAAATTCTATTCAACCTAAAGTTGGGTAGGAAAAATCATTACTTTAAGTAAATCATTAAATTTTGAAAGAAAAATCTTTATTTAATTTTTGAATTATTATAGAACGATCTTTCTATCTTTTAGATATTATATTATTCTTAATATAGCATTTAATCACTCATACAAAAAAAAAAATTCAAAATTTATGGGGTGTTTCCATTTCTTTAAGTCCAAAGAGTTACTTAAAATTTTGGAAAAATGATGCAGCACAAACAACACATAATTCAACTATAAAAAGTCATTGCAGTAATAAAATTTGGCCAATTATAAGAGACATGAAAAATATTTAATTAGAATTGGAACTTATTTTCTTCTGCATTATGATTTCATTATATTTTATATGACTTTATGTTTGTGTTTTAATTTTATAAAAATTTGCAGAGAAAATTTAAAGATTCTTTCAATAACATTGAATCTTTAAATTTATAAGGGATATTTAAAATTATATCATGGATATAATTAATTGCATTAAATTATTTAATTAAGTGTTTTATTCTAAGGTATTTGGGATTGCAGAAATAGAGGGGAAATCTTCCTCCTCAATTCAAATGAGATCCCCTCACCCTCTCCCTCTCTCCTCCTCCTTTTTAATTTCTTTCTTTTTTACATTAAAGTTTGAAAAAGGACTATTTATTCATTATTTTATATATAAATGAAATTTTTGTTGCTTTTATTTCAAAAGTTGTGTTTCTTTATGTGAAGGCCTAGTTGTCATTCCTACGTTAGAGGAGATTTAGTGGTATTCCTCAACCTAGATTTTTTATGAGCAATAGTTCTATTTTCTTATTTGTTGTAATCAGGGGTGTAAATGAGCTGAATATGAGCGAGCCCAGCTCGTGTTCGGCTCGTTTATATTTCGAGCTCAAAAAGTGTGTTCGTATTTGACTCGTTTGCTTAGCGAGTCGAACACGAGCTGTTCATCAACAAATAGTTGTTTTGATAACCCTAATAATGTAGCCATAAATAGTTCAGGGTTGGGGCTAAATTTAAAAATTATTGTTTATATTAAAATAACATTTGATTCTAATTTAATAATGTTTGTTCTATCTTTTTAATTAATACTTTTAAGTGATTATAAATCTTTGTAGCCTTGTAGTCAATTAATTTTTTTAAAAATACTATTCATCAATATTATATATATATATTCTACCCGCGGCCTGC